CCCCAAAACCCCAAAACCCCAAAACCCCAAAACCCCACAGACCATAGAATATACAATTGCAATAATATTAAATCTTATTTACAAGTTTGGATTATAAAATGAACAAATATGAAATACTTGGAATCGTGGGTGAGGGAGCTTATGGTGTAGTCTACAAAGCCAAAAATAAGGAGACTGGAGAGCAAGGTATAAAATTTAGATGCCTTTACTAATTTTATAAAGTTGCCATTAAAAAATTTAAAGAGTCAGCTGATGAAGATCAAATAGTAAAAAAGACCACTTTGAGGGAAGTTAAAATGCTGCGATGTCTCAAAGATCACAGCGTTATAAAATTAATAGAGGCGTTCAAAAGGTAATTCAACTTTCAATTCATTTATAATTAACATTAGAAAGAGTCGACTATATCTAGTGTTTGAGTACATGGATAAAAACCTATTAGAAGTGCTTGAAGAATAAGGGGGTAATGGGTTGGAGGTAATTTAAATTTATCATTTTATTTATTCAATTAGCCTTTTCAAGTGAAAAAATACATCTATCAAATGTTGAGATCAATTAGCTACTGCCACGGAATGAATATCATGCATAGAGACATTAAGCCTGAAAATCTGCTAATTAAGCATGAGACTTAGGAATTAAAGGTATGCGATTTCGGATTTGCCCGCTTCATAAACAGTGCAAAGGAAAATCAGGGACCAAGCTAACTTACCGATTATGTTGCAACGAGGTGGTATAGATCTCCTGAATTACTTCTCATTTCAGATTCTTTGCAATATGGCAAAGAAGTAGATATCTGGGCAGTAGGTTGTATAATGGGAGAACTTACAGATGGACAGCCTTTATTTCCTGGAGAATCAGAAGTAGATCAACTGTTTGTTATTTAGAAAGTTCTTGGATCTCTGCCCTAATTTTTGCAAGAAGAGTTTTAAAAGAATCCCAGATTCGTAGGACTTAAGTTTCCAGATGTTTCGAAGCCTGAGACTCTCGAGAGAAGGTATTCAAGCAAAATGGGGGAAGTTGAGCTGAGTCTAATGAAAGGCCTATTGGAGATGGACCCTAATTTGAGGTTCTCAGCTGAGGATGCTATAAATCATGAATACTTTGACGACATCCGTTAGCATGAAGAGTTGGAGTTTCTATAAAAGCCTTTATTGCTTAATAATAGGGCATTATCACCTGATTTCAACAGTTATGGAAAGACATAAAATCAGCTTAAAAATACATATCAGCAGCATCAAACAACGACAATGGTAAGCAGTCATTTGCAGTCGACAGGGAAAATGAAGAACACTTAAAATCAAGTGCAGACTAGGTGATCTCAAACCAATGACAACAAACTCAATGTAGCTAAGTAGATTTATGGAGGGGGTATATAAAAACCAATTAATGTAACTAATAAGAAACAGCAATATCTAAATTAGATTAATCAGATGTAGGGAACTAATAATAATTTATCATTTGCTGATACGCATTATAACACTCAAATATCAAACAACAATAACAACACAGCTGTGTTCAGCAACTTAAGTCAGCAAACTAACTTTGGAAACTTCCACAATTAAAACATTCAATCTCTGTACAACAGCGGCGGCTAACTCTAAAATGACTATTCCTATAATATTAATTTGGATGGCACTCCAGGCAAAAACTCAGGCAGTGGTAATGTCTACATGTATCAATAACCTACATTCATCCCTAACACCACTCACCTAATCATTTAAAATACTTAGTCCAATCAAATGCATAATAGCAACAGCTAGAATAACAATTAGCAAACAATACCTTAACAGTAGCAGTAAATGCTTTCATCTGTAAATAGCCGCGTATCACTTGATAGAGATGATTACATATTTGAAAATGTAACTTCACCTGATTAACTTCTCATGTATTCCCAGTAGCAATAGTAATAACACCTATCCTATTTAAGAAGCAGTAGTATAACCTCAAACTAAGGCTTTAATAACAATAACTAGAGAATTATGACTCAAGGTGGTATATAGAAGTATCAAGGCCAATCTCAATCTCCACCTTCAATCAGGCAAAAATATTAGCAGACCTAGCATTAGCCTTAACAAAATCAGCAATACTAAATCCCTAATTCAACATATAAAGCTACCAAAATCTATCAACCAATCAATAAACAAAAGAAGTCCAATCAATATACTATGTACCAATCTAATCACATGCCTCAGACATAGCATCGCCAAAGAGGTTATAACTATCCTCTTACTAACAACTAACCTTCCGATACTGGTGCTGCTCCAGATAATATATTTGGATCTCAATTTATAATAAATACTTCTGGAAACAGTTAATTAAGTGGATATCCAATGATTTATAATCAGAGCAGTCCACATAATGGCCACATTATATACAGTTCATAAGAAAGAAAAAGATCTTAGATTAAGAATCTTGCACCACTAGGAAGTCATTACAATCCAAGCGATATGAATCTTCAAGGATCTTAACTTTAGTACTTTTCACCTAACGATAGAGAACCTAGGTCGCATAGTAAAAAGCAAATACGAGTGGCAAATAATGGATAGAATTAAAACTAAAACTCTCAAATTTAAGCTGCATTTTTAAAGTAAAATTCAGCTTCAGCGTTTAATGAGAATGTAAGTATAAATCTAGTATTAACAATAATCATAGGAATATACCTATCAAATACCTAGCATACCATCCTAGGCCAAGATAGTGACTGGTAACGTGATGACTAATTCGCAAATACTATCTATTGATTCAGTAAACCGTCAAACTAGCGAAAGCTTTGTCCCTAATACTATCAACTTTAATCACTCTCCTTCAAACTAAGGTTATGGGCCTAAATTCAAAAAGCTTAGTGACATAATGCTTTAACCTCCTGGTAGCTCTGGAAATAATCACATGAGTGTACAGCAAAACTTTGAATTAAACAGTATAAATAATATGACATTTAGTAATAACAACACTACAACCAATACTAATTTGACATAGAGTATGGCTGCTAACAACACTGCTAATAATACAGCAACAAACAATAATAGCAATATAAACAATAACAAGATTTCAAGCATTGTTAGTAATAATAATGATTTTTCGCCAGCACAGATGATAAACATCTCTAAATATACATAAAGCATGAGATGAATAAGCACTCTTTTCTTATAACAAAAACTTTTATTTTTGATCTATTAAATTTAACTATCTATACGTAAACGTACGCTTTAATTGTTTCAAATTCTCAAACCTCAATTTTTTACTCTATTCAAATTAATGGGGTTTTGGGGTTTTGGGGTTTTGGGG